TGCAGTGCCACATACCGCACAACCGCATTCATCTGGATGCACCCAGACACACTCTGTGGTTCTTCCTAGTTCCCAAAATAACACATCCTGTCATTCCTGATGTCCCCACAAAGGGAATTCCTAGACCTGGGCTGGACTGAAGCAGGGGTGGATCCAGGGGGACAGTTGTACCCCCATTTCAGACCACGCCATGGGAGCAGCAGCCAGAGACTAAGTCCCTGAAGCAGATAAGGATTCCTGCTCTCCCATCCCCTCTATGCTCAGAAGCAGGTCCCCTCCTCTTCCCTCCCTTCCTCTCTCCTTCGCCAGCAGATGCTGTTGCCCCCAGTTGGCCCAAGGACGGGGGAGCAGCAGAGCCCAACTCCAACTCGGCTGCATGGGGAGCCAGGCTCAGGCTCAGCTGGGGACAGTGGGCAGGGTCTTGTACCGCCGTGTCCCCACCCAGGTGGCTCCCCACAAGCCCAGAAGCAGGCTCATGGAAGAGGAGGCTGCTCACGACCACTACTGTCCATGGCTCCTGCTACAGCCTGGCTGGAGTGGGATAGGAGCAACTCTGGAGCTCTCTCCACCCCCAGCAGCAGGGAACAGGAGGGAGGGGCAGTGCCATGGAAAGGAAGGGAAGGGAAGATGTGCCAAGCGGGGGGTGTGGATTATTTGCTGACACGGGGATTCAAACTCCCTGGCTGCTGCTCCCATCGTGTGGTCTGCCCACTTTGGTGGGGTGGGAGTGGGGGGCAGCAGCTAGGATCAGGGGATGAAGCTAGCCTTGTGGCACCAGTCACAGCTCCTGCATCCCCTTTTACAATGTTCTGGATCCACCTACAGACTGGAGTGAATTAGGAACCACAGTGCAATGCAACTTCCACATGTAGAAAATCCTTTGACTTTCATACAAAGAACAGGTGCACAAGTCAGACAAGAGCCATGCAGGAAAGAACAAAGTTATTTCATTAGGAACAGAAACCTGGTATGGAAATGTAAGCAAAGGTTACTTCTGCATTGCTACCATGGGGCAGATTTTCAAAGAAACCCAGCACTGAACTGTTATGGAAATCTCACTAAGTCGATAAATAGATTTTTTTGATTTATTTACAAAAGAAAAAAAAAAAGGTGGGGTAGGGAATCATGTGTCCTCAGTTGTCACCCACACTGGCCATGACTGGCTGGGTACTCTGCTGTGGGCAGCAGAATGGGGTGTAGACAAGGAGTATGAAGGAGAAAGATTTCAGACCAGTTGGTGGAGAGTACAGATGGCAGCCCTAAAAGGAATCAGAAATGTATTTAGGGAAGATGCATATCAGCGTCTCCAGCTCTGTGCAGGCACACGCTCGTATGTGCACTCATCTGTTCTGTGCTTTCCTGTCCGCACACCTGTGTGTGGTTTATCCAGCATGCACCACGGATGGAGCTCTGGATGCCCACGTGCTCAGTGTCTCTTTCACTGCACGTACTCTCTATACTCTCTTGTCCTATCGTCTTAGGATAATAGTTCCCTCAGCCTTTCCAGGTCAGCTCAGTTCAAGAAAAAAAAAATTGGTCTCTTCTATCAACTTCATGAGTTTCATAGATTCATAGATGTTAGGGTCGGAAGGGACCTCAATAGATCATTGAGTCCGACCCCCTGCATAGGCAGGAAAGAGGGCTGGGTCTAGATGACCCCAGCTAGATGCATATCTAAGAGTTGTAAAAAATAACAGCAGAAAATAGATTGTGACCCCCTATATCACTGAGAAGCAACTGTATTTTCATAGGTTTACAGTTTGATGGCATGGTTGCAATCGACTATAACAAGGAGAGGCAATAAACATTAAATATAGCTACTCTCTGCAGGCCTGAACTTAGAAAGTGCTGGGCGAGGCCTGGGAAGAAGGTTTGGGATCACCAGCAATTTGGTTAGTGGGCAAGAGAATTCCCAGTGCTGTCCTCAAAGAAGGGACAGGCCTCACAGGCTGGGATACCTGGTTGGTGTTTTACATAGGACATGTATTGGGTAATGGAGGCTTCATCAGAGAAGTGTTCATCTGGAAGACGAGTGTCTCATGGAAGAAAAGAGTTTGCAAGCAACATCCCAGTTTCACAGAAGTTAAGCATGCAAGTAAGCTTGGAAGCTCAGCTGAGCAGAACAGCAGTCACAGCAGGGCTGCAGTCTGGACTGAGCACTGGGACAGGCCAGTCAAGACTGAAGAACCACAAAGGAATGCGACTCGTGTCTCAGGGAAAGGGAGACAGCTTAGGGACTTGCTTAATCGAAAGCGAGGGAGGGGGTGTCCCTCGCCTCCCCTTCCAGGGCCACCCCTAGTCTAGGTGCAGGCTCTTCAAATCAGGGTAGAGCTTGGTCGGAGTATCGGGCTCATCAGCGGGGGGAGCTGAGGGTACAGCCACAATTGCACAACAGTCTCTATCTTTCTCTCCAAGGTTCTTCTCTTTTCAAAGTATATAACTCACCGGTGGGTTTCCCATTAATTTGCTTCAGGGGGAGTCCAGCCTTCCTTAGCTCAATTCAAAGTTGTCGGCGTGGAATTTTTTTTACCTCTACCGACATTCCTTTTATTATCGTTTCAACTTTGGGTTTTCCTCGGTCAAATTAATCAAAGTCTGTAACCTCCTTATAACATCTTTTAGGGAATGGTTCATTCAAGTATCGTATCGTTGCTTTAGAAGACTCTGCAAGGGGCCTGTCCCCTTGCGGAAGGTGTTTTCCCATATGGTTCCAGTGACTAGGACCCACAGGGGGTCAGTGTTTAACTGGTCATACAAAGCTGCTTCGATGAACACATTCCCACTTAATTGTCGCCCCCCCCGCCCAATTTACCCACTTAGGTTCTCTGGCATGTCGATCCTTGGATAACTCCCAAGCATCCAATGATTTTAACACCATTCCCATTATTTGGTAGGCAAAATGTCCCATCAGCCTTGGATTTATCATGGAAGAGGCCTGGGCTGACTTGTACCACTACCCTGGGAAGATCTTTGCTATTACTGCTGCTGATTCTCTAGGAGTAAAAAATTTGTCTAATTCTTGGGATACCACCCTACTAGCCCACATGTCCCAGGTCTCTTTGGTGTCTTTTATCCAGCCTGCCAGTTCAGTCTGGAGGTTTGTTGGCTTCCAAGGAATCACTTCCCACTCTTGCCCTGCAGGCCCCCCATCTGGCATCTGGTGTACCCTAGATTTCATAACTGCACTTAGCTCTGACTTCTCTGGGGGAATTGTCTCCACTTTTCTTCCTGAAGAGGAGGGGGTAGGCTGGTCGTTCTGATCCCCAGCCAGATCGATCGCTGCTACTCCTTGCCCCTCCTCCATCTTTGGATCCTCTAAGGGCAACAAAGTTCCCACCATTTCCCACAACAAAGAGATGGTGCCTTCTAATAACGCTATCTTCCCTGGTTTTCTGCCTGCCTGCCATTGGGCGAAAACTCCCTCCACCACGGCAAGGGACCTAAGGTCCCTTACTCCAGAGGGGGACCATGGATGTACTTTCTTACTAAGTTTGGAGAGACTCGTGGTTTTTCCCTGGCGTGTGAACATGTCCACTGCTCCTCTGACACAGCTGGCCAGGCCGTTCCGAGGAAGGGTCTCTCATGCCCGCATTCTCCACCACTTGTTAGGGGCTCCCTCCCTTCCCAATAAAGGGTAGGTGAGTAACCCACAAGTCACACGCCAGGTAATACCCAAATGTCACTCTTTATTGCAATGAAAAATCAATGATACATACAGAAAATATTATAACAAGCCTCTGAGCTGCAAGCGCGTCAAGCTGGAGAAAAGGCACTCCACACCCTATCCCCTGTTATTACCCGATAGGTCTCGGGAACCCCACCCTGCATCCAGGGTGGCGAGACTGTCTCCTTTATCGGGTCCTCAGCCTTGTCCTCCCTGAAGTAGTTCCACCCCGGACCTAGTGCTTTCACTTTATATACCTTTCCTCCCACCAGTTATCTCCCCCAAAAAGGGGGGTTCACTTTAAGCCTCACTGCCTTTTCTGGGATTAAAGCCAAGCCGTTATCTCATTTTGCAAGCTGTTATTTTCTAAATTCGAATTGCTATCTTTGCACTCCACTAGGCCTGGAATTTTACAGGTGTGTTGGCCGGTCTAGGGCAGTTCCCTTTTTTTCTTTACTCATCAGCAAACTGCAGCAGATGCATTAGGTCCTGACCTCATGGTCTCCGGGTTCTGTGAATCTGAACCCCCCTTCTGGGTGTCAGATTGGCCTTCTCCCAGAAGCCTCTTCAGGTCAGGCCTCACAGACAGGCCAGTCAAGACTGAAGAACCACAAAGGAATGTGACTCGTGTCTCAGGGAAAGGGAGACAGCTTAGGGAACTAGGTGTTCTGGAGAGGGGAGAGTTTGTTTGTATCCTGATATGCTTGGGAGGTATCCAATGAGAAGTGGCTGTTCTGAGAGCACTCATGGAGTGTGGAGTGCGGAGACCTAATGAAGAAGATACAGGTAAGAACTCATGAGAACCAGCAGGTGTCTTCTGTCCAGACCATAGGAAAGAAACCAGTATCTTTCTTCCTCCCTCCTATATCACTGGTTCTGTAACCATGACCTATGTTGCTTTATGTCAGTCCAGCTCTTCCGCCAAGCCTTACTAAATTCTGGCAACGTTCCCACCCTTCTGGGTGTTCAGCCAAGATCTCAGAGTTCATCATGACCTCTCTTCATTTATAAATTAGCATGCCAGAAAGTGATGACTGTAAATTACCCTGATCTCCTGCGTAGTACAGGGCATGGGACTTTTCCAAATTAATTCCTGTTTGAGTGAGTAAAGCATCTGGGCTTTATTTAAAAATGTCTAGTGCTGGCTATCTTTGTTCAAAGATGCATGGCTATTTGGTTGTACTACAATCCATAGCGTCTTGCATCTGCCTTACAGACCAAGCTCTACGGTCTAGATCATTGACTGGCCTTCTTCATTATTTTCCTGCCTCCCTCCCCCCCCACTCTTTATGTCACATACAAATGTTAGCATTAATGATTTTATCTTTTCTTTCAGGGTCACAGATACAAGAGTTAAACTGGGTAGAGCCAAGAGTGGATTTCCTGCAGGACCCCACAAGAAAACGCATCTGATCAATGAGATTTCTCCATTTACATTCACTTGCTGAGGCCAATCAGTTAGCTAGTGTTTAATCCCCATACTGGTTGCCAGGTTGATTTTGTATTGTTCTGGCTTCTTGATCAAAACGCTGTGTGGTGCCCAGTCAAAAGCCTTACAGAAATCCACAGCAGCAACTAAACATGTGATCTCAAAGGAAAAAAAAGAATAGCTTGACAAGCTCTGGTTTCCATAAAGCTGTTGGTAGGCGTTAATTATGTTACCCTCTAATACTGGCTTAATCAATTCCCACATCAGGCGTTCCATCAATTTTGCCCAGGATCCATGCCAGGCTGACAGGTCTATAATTACCCAGGTCATCATGTTTACCTGTTTCAGATATCAGCCCATTTCTCAACTGGTGAAGGGCTGTGGGAGAAGCCACTGTGAGAAGCCCTTTCACTTTCATTTAGTGAACCTTACGTCACTGCTCAGTCCAGCTTCCACTGAAGCCAAAGACAATCTTTCTGTTAAAGAAAATCCTGTTTTCTTTTTTATTTCAACCCAAGACTCTCTGCTTCCCATTGGGCTTTGGTATTAATGGAATAAAGGAGTTAACATCCGTCTGGAGCTTTCGCCTTCCTAAAGCCCTAGAGGTGCCATCTACAAAGGGGAGCGATTCATTTGAACCAAGCAAAGGGAAACACCCAGGATGAGTGTGACATTTCAAAAGATGGAGGCAGAAACCCTGTCAAGGCACCACCTCACAACTCACCATGTAAGGCTCCAGAGAAACCCAGGAACATCCTGGGGGGGGGGGGGGGGGTGGGAATTTTAGTTCTTTCATCCTGCCTTAGAACCTAGGGAGTTCGTGGGAAATGTTGAGGAGTGAAGGCACAGCTGTGATTGTACCAGGAGTTACACCAGTGTAAAGCAAGGTGAGAATGGAATTAGATCTGTCCTATTTTGCCTTGACTTCTGGCAAGCAAACAAAACACAGCAGGAACTTGTCAAATTTCATCCAGGCCTCAAGACATGGCCAAGTTCACAAACCCGTATTTTCGCATTGCAGCCTGAAATTTTTTTTTCCTTGCATGTAAAGTCTCCAGGAGAGAGCATGCTGCATTTCCTCTGTGCTACCGTGGAAAAACAGAAGTGGCTGTTGGACTCTGCATACAAAGATAGTGCAAATCAGAGTTACCCATGAAACACCATGGTTTCACACCTCCAGGCACTGCAGTTTATTCAGTTCTGAGCCATGCCCTCTTTCAGAAACCTTTAAAACAACTTGGGCAGGGTCTCAGGTTTTTCACTAAAGTAGCAGGCATACAGCTTCATGGGACTGAGTGCAGCTACACAGTGCAACCAATTTAATGCCAATCCCAACAACTTTTTAATTCCTCAAGTGGGTAAGTCCAAACCTGGTATGATGAGCTGGCCCCTGTGCCTGGTGCATTTCCCACCCTTGCTGCAGGGTGATCACAGCTGCAGAAGTCTTCACATTATTGGAAGCAGCAGCAGATTCCCCTCCCCAGACATCCCCCTCACCCCACAAAAGTAGAATTCTGTCATTATGGCTATTGCTCAGCTTCATGCTGGGGTATGGTATGCAATGAGAATGCACCGGTATTTCTCCTGCAAGCACAAAATGCAATAAAAAAGCATTTAAAAATAAACTTCAAGCCATCAGTGCATCTTAGGCCAGGGCCTCTTCCTTATCTAGAGGGACTGTGCTGCTATGGCCATGTCTTTCTACACATGGACACCCATCAACCTCTCCAACATCAGTAGAATCTGGCTATTTAACCAACAATCTCCAGGGCAAAATAGCATAGAGGGGATGTCTGATTTGCTCTGTTAGGAGCGATTCTTTGCACTTGCATAGCACTTCCAGCCAGAACCCTTTGCGGAGATGATTAAAAACAACAGCCCCCCTCAAGGCTGGTGGTGATATGAGGCACAGCTGTCCCAGTGGCAGAGCAGGGTAGAGAACGTGGAGATTCTGGTTCTGAGGTCCGTGCTTGAACCAGCAATCAATGAGCTGGACTCTCAATTCCACCTTCACACAACCCTGGCAGTACAAAGATGCCTTTGACTGGCAGACATTAGGGGCAGAGGCTACCTTCTGGCTCTGTTCGCACACAGCCTCACACAATGGAGCCCAGGCCCATGACTGTGGCTTGTAGACACTACCCCAATATAAATTAGACTACTTAATGAAGTGGAAGCAAATAATCTGCTTTTAGACCCCATTACACTGCCAGCCTGGCTTAAAGGGACCTTCATGAAAATGGCCAAATTACTTCTGTGTACCCAGAAAGTTGACTTTGCTTGTTGTCCAACCCTGTAGTTAGTTCCTTTTAAATCTAGGCCTCCACATCCCCTAACCCCAATTACCAAATCCCCAATGGGCACATCTACACATGTGATTAATGCGCACAAATAAACTCCAGAGCTTATTGCTCCAGTTTTTTCCTCCCAGGTGCACCATTTGAATATGTGCTCAGGAGCACCCCCTTCCCCCCCAAAACAAACCCCAACCCCTTCCCCCACTAACCCCGAACTATTTTGCTCTAGAGTTTATTCATGTGCAGCACATGGAGCCCAGTCAGAGCAGCCCAGGCTGGCAGGGGACGCCAGGGGTCAGGGTAGCATCTATACTTGCACTACTACGCATTAAAAGGAATAAAAATCCGGAGCAGATTAAGACTTGTATTTACAAGTCCTAACCTACTGCAGAGTGTATTTGTTTTGTGCACCATAATTAATCAGTTAATTAGTCAACTGCACAGTAGACATCTCATGTAAAGGCACTCAGTCCATCCCTTTTCTATTCCTGCTACTGCTAGCTCTCTTCCCTTCGCAGTCCCTGGCTCTGCACTGACTCTTGTAGTCTCAGCTTTCTCTCTGCTAAATCTGGATACTTTTCTTGTCAGTCAGCTTCCCTAATCCATTAAACAATTACAGGTTTGGGGCCAACTTTGTCTACGCAGCATTTCTGAAAATGAACCTGTTAGCGTTTCACTAGCAGAGCCAGGTCAACCTCAGAGTTAAACCTGGGAAGAAAGCTTGAGTTATATGGGTAGCCAGGTTCAATTAGACAGGAACTCGCACACTTGTCAAGGTGAATTCAGCCTTGTTGCATCTTCTCTGAAGTCAATGGCATTACGTCTGCTACAATCAAGGCTAAATTTGTTCTCTCAAGTCCAAGGTATTTTCTCAGGGTTTCAACAATGCATGCTGCAAAAGTGGGCAATGAATTACTTGTAGATTTGTGAAATTTATTTAGCTGTCTTCAAATAAGTTTTCACCTCACTCAGGAGAGACATACACGGACACATTTTATAGCCTCACCTCTGCAGTTCATTCTTTTGAAACCAATGGCTTGCAGATGCAGATGTATTTTCACAAAAAAATTAACTAATGCTACTGTAACAGCTGCTGCTGGATTTGCAGCAGGGAGGTGCAGAAAGTTGTTGCTTGCAAAAGCATCTGCATGTTTTTGCTTGGCTCCTGAGGCAGGAGAGGAAAGGGAACTCAGCCAGACTCAGAGAAGGGAAGGAGCCCCAGAGCTTGGGGAGGAACCACCCTGCAGCCTGCCTGTGAAGTGAACCTGTCCTTAGTGATGGGGAGACGACAACTTGATATCCTTTTTCCCTCTGTGAGGCAGAGGGACCCGTGTGGAGGGAAGAGGGTGGTACTGTAGATGTGCCTAGGAGGGCAGGGTGCTGATTTAGGAAGGCTCTGGGGAGAGTTAACTGAGAGCCAGCTTGGGGCTGGGTGGGTGATAAACCCAGGGTTGTTTCAGTTATTAGCACAAGGGGCCTTGTCTGGGATTTGGAGAAAGGTGCTTTTGGGGAGAGGAGACAGTGTGCATTTCTTTGCAGATACCACAGAGCTGGGGTAGAG